CATCATTGGCTTGGCATCTCTCGTTTTGAAAGTTCTCATTATCCATCCTATCATTTTCTTTGCACGTGCGATCGTGGCACTGTTGTGATCCTTGAAAGTGAGATCCTCAGACATTACTACTCCCAGGTCCCTTACATTATTTTTCCGCTCTATTATATGGCCTGAGTCAGTAGTATACTCTGTTCTAGTTATTATCTCCTCCAGTTTTCCATAACGGAGTAGTTGGAATTTGTCCTCATTGAACATCATATTGTTTACCGTTGCCCACTGGAAAACTTTGTTTATATCTTCTTGGAGGTTAACCGCGTCCTCAGCAGATGACAGCCTCATGCAGATCCTAGTATCATCCGCAAAGGATGATACGGTAATTGTGAGAGGCAGGAGCGACCTGCCCTGAACCCATGTTGCCCTGGAGTGTGCAGATCTTGGGAATCCAGGTGATTTGCAATCCTGCTTCTTAGCACTCTTTCAAAGATTTTTATGATGTGGGACGTCAGAGCTATTGGTCTATAGTTCTTAGCTAATGCTTTGCTGCCACCTTTATGGAGTGGGGCTATATCCGTTGTTTTAAGTGACTGTGGAATTTCACCCATGTCCAAGCTCCTCCTCCATAGTGTACTTAGGGCATGCGAGAGGGGTTTCTTGCAGTTCTTAATGAAAACAGAGTTCCACGAGTCTGGGCCCGGGGCTGAGTGCATAGGCATGTTGTCAATGGCTTTTTCGAAATCTATCGGAGTTAGGGTAATGTCGGAAATCTGGCATACATTTATGGAGTTTTGAGGCTCATTCATGAAGAAATCATTTGGGTCGTCGATCCTCAGACCGATTAGTGGATCACTAAACACAGAGTCGTACTGGGATTTCAATATTTCACTCATTTCCTTGTTGTCATCTGTGTAAGTCCCATCCTGTCTGAGTAAGGGCCCGATACTAGATGTGGTATTTGCCTTGTTTTTGGCATATGAAAAGAAATATTTTTAATTTCTTTCAATTTCACTAATAGCTTTAAGCTCCTCCTGCCTCTCCTGGTTCCTGTAAGAGTCATTTAACTTAAGTTCGATAGTTTCCACTTCCCTGGTCAGCGCCTCCTTTCGTGTATCAGATATTCTAGCACTCCTGAGGAGCTCAGTGACTCTTCGTCGTCTTCTGTAGAGGGAGTGTCTTTCTCTCTCCAGTTTACTCCTGCTCTTCTTCTTTCTTAAGGGAATATGCCTAGAACATGCTTCGGCTGCCAGGAAGTTGATCCTTTCAAGGCACTGGTTTGGATCCATGTCATTTAAGATATCTTCCCAACATGTTTCGTTTAGGACATGGTTTACCTGGTCCCAGTTGATGTTCTTGTTGTTGAAGTTGTATTTTGTGAAGACACCTTCACAGGTACATGCATTCTGCTGATCAGGACCCCTATGCATGTACGTCTGGACTTCGATTAGGTTGTGAACGGAATTGTTTTTGATATTCTTATGTCTCTTATCAGGTCCTCATTATTTGTGAAGATAAGGTCAAGTGTGTTTTCTAGTCTTGTTGGCTCCACTATCTGCTGGCTTAAGGTGTGTTTTTCGCAGAGACTTAGTAGCTCATGTGTGTGTGACCTTTCATCTGCGCTGTGTGTGTGTGTGTACTCACCTAGTTGTATTCACCTAGTTGAGGTTGCAGGGGTCGATTCCAAGCTCCTGGCCCCGCCTCTTCACTGGTCGCTACTGGGTCACTCCCTGAACCGTGAGCTTTATCATACCTCTGCTTAAAGCTATGTATGGATCCTGCCTCCACTACATCGCTTCCCAAACTATTCCACTTCCTGACTACTCTGTGGCTGAAGAAATACTTCCTAACATCCCTGTGATTCATCTGTGTCTTCAACTTCCAACTGTGTCCCCTTGTTGCTGTGTCCCATCTCTGGAACATCCTGTCTTTGTCCACCTTGTCAATTCCTCTCAGTATTTTGTATGTCGTTATCATGTCCCCACTATCTCTCCTGTCCTCCAGTGTCATCAGGCTGATTTCCCTTAACCTCTCCTCGTAGGACATACCGCTTAGCTCTGGGACTAGTCTTGTTGCAAACCTTTGCACTTTCCCTAGTTTCTTTACATGCTTGGCTAGGTGTGTGTGTGTGTGTGTGTGTGTGTGTGTGTGTGTGTGTGTGTGTGTGTGTGTGTGTGTGTGTGTGTGTGTGTGTGTGTGTGTGTGTGTGTGTGTGTGTGTGTGTGTGTGTGTGTGTGACAGAGCACTTGGCTCTATTCACCGCTGGTCTGTGATAGCAACACAACACCTGGTATATGGCTGCTGCTACACTAGGTGTATGAGTGCAGAGAGGCAGTGAAGAAGTATACCGAGGCACGCTGAAGCAGCGTTGCAGATAGGCAACATTGCAAGGAAGGAACCCTGCAGAAAGGTAGCAGCCGAGGCAGCGTTGCAGGGAGGCAGCATTGCACAAATGCACACCGAGGCAGCGTTGCAGAAAGGCACCCCCGAGGCACAGTACACCAGAGAAGCTGTGGCACTGCCCAGTACACCACATCCACTCTGAAATACTATCCCGGAATGTACACCATTCTAGTTTTGTGCTTGTATAATAGTAATAGTTACTCCAGAGCAGTGAGTCACCTCGTTATTAAATACTGCCCAAGTCTCTACACTGTCTCGCCAAAAATATTAACAAAAGCAATTATAAATATAATTATAACATGACTGATCATCATGTATAAAACACAGCCTGACCCAAACTGTACCCTCATGTACCATCAATTATAGTCAGGCACACCCAGCTAATTACAATACAAAATAATTACTGAAACTTAAAATTATTATTGTATGAGGGGGGCTCTAAACCTCAAAGGGTTATGTAGAGGCCTGGGGAATGGGAAGTAACAGTTCTGGGGAAGGTAGTTCCAATTTTTTAGATGGTTTGCTTACAAAACTAATTTGATGGAACAGTAACCAGTAATAGCCTGGTTGATCAGGCCCTGATCCACCGGGAGGCCTGGTCATGGACCGGGCCGCGGGGGCGTTGATCCCCGGAATAACCTCCAGGTAACCTCCAGGTAATGGACCTTAATTATTAATATTCTTCTTGGCTACTAACACGTATTTTAAATCAGCAACTCCCCCCGTGGTTGAAGGAGAGCTTTAGGTCTTTCGCGTTGCAATCAGCACATCATCAGGAGCTTGCAGTGTTGCAGAAAAGAAGATATCCCAGCAAACACGTTCAGTGAGAGTTTTTGCCAGAAACAAAAACTCTCTAAACGCGTTTCCTGGGATTTTATCCTCTTTTATACAACACTGCAAGATCCTGATGTGTTGATTCCCACACGAAAGGCCTAAAGCTATCTTTCAACCCCTCCACTCCCCCGTGGCTGTTTTAAGAACATACGAAAGAAGGAATACTGCAGTAGGCCTACTTGCCCGCGAGGCCGGTTCGCGATTTTTTGCACACACCACACACACACACCACACACACACACCCCAACCACCCCACCAACCCCAACACCCAACTACAGCCAAGATTCAAACCCAGCACACCCTGTATCAATGTACACAGTACTTTGACACAGAGTGTGCAGGTTCGAATCCTGCTGTGGACTGAAGCACTACACTCTGACAGCTGGGTGAATGCAGCAGCAGACATCTGTAAAAGCTGTACACAGCCGTAAGAAGCAGACAGCAGTAACTGCAGCAGAAAATTTTAACAGACAGCAGTAATCATGGGAGAGAACGGTAACAGCAGCAGACAATACGATATGTAACAGCAGTAGACGGCTGTAAGAGATGTAACAGCATCAGACAGCCGTAACAGCCAAAGACAATAATAACCGATATACAAACAGAATACAGCAATACAACAGCGGCAGACAGACCTAACAGTAGCAGACAGCAATAACATATATAACAGTAGCAGACAGCAATAACATATATAACAGTAGCAGACAGCAATAACAGACGTAACAGCAGCAGACAGCAACACCAGATGTAACAGCAGCAGACATGAAGCAAGTGACAGCAGCAGCAGACAGTAATCTCTCTACCTCCCCCACCTACCATAGTTCCTGGATTCCCCCCTTCCATCCAATCCCCCCTCCCTACAACGTCCAATCTGTCAAATTATAAAAAACTGAAATGTCTCACAAGATGATAATAATAATGATGGAAGCCCCCCGGCGGGGGGAGGGGGGGGGGGGGGAGGGGGGAGGCAGCCCGCGGAATAAATGTTACCAAATGTTCTAAACTGCTGGAATAACTTAAAAAAAAAATGAACAGGAGGGGAATGTCTTGCCCATCACAGCATCGTTACCCCGCCAGGGAGGGGGAGAGGGGGAAGGGGGGGGGGAGAGAGAGAGGGGAGGGAGAAGGGGAAGGGGAAGGGAAAAGGGGAGGGGGAGAGGGGGACGGGGGGGGGAAGGGTGAGAGGCGGAGGGGAGGGGGTGAGGGGAAGGGAAAGGGGAGGGGGAGAGGAAAAATGCTCAAATTATTTATAAAATAATCGATACTCCCCCCCCAGTCCTTACCCTCCCCCCCCCTTTAAAAAAAAATGAACTACAATCTTTCAGCCTCACTGAATTAACTGGTCTTTTTTTTCAAAATTAAGGCAGAGAGGCGCTACTGCAAGATTTAAAAAAAGAAAAAAGAACCCACATGTTGGATCCATGAAGGAGACACTTGAGCGCAGGAATGTGTGGAATTAGATGTATATATAAGTATAACATTTTTGACTATTACTCCCATACCATTGAAGACTGTGTACGAACACATCAAAATTATTATTTACCGCCGGTAAAATACCTCCATTAAACCTGGTCTTAGCAAGATAGTCAATGTGGTAAATAAGACAGCAGAGGAGCCGTATATAAGGCCGCTGCGGCTACAACAAATGAAGAAAAAAACAGAAGTTAAATAAAATTAAGATAAATTAGAGATGTAAAGCTGGGTGGCGGTGTTGCCAGACGCCGCCACACACTCAATTACACCTAAACTTAATTTTAGGCAAAACTTGATAAATAACTTAC